AGAATGGGATCGAATCCGCCTCTCAGGAACAGGACGATGTTTCTGTCCTTCCGGTTCCCTTCCTACCACCTTTTCCCTCTTCTGCCCCCTTTTTTCTCTCTATATTCACCGCGAAACGACTCGTTCATTTTTTATCCCTCTCTCGTCTTCTCTCGTTCTCCACGCGTCACGTTTACGTCGTCTCTTCCTCTCGTCTTCCCCCTCTTTATCCGAACAGTCAACCCCATCTATTTATCTGAATCCGTTCGTCTGGCGTTGTCTTTGCCCGTCTCATCCCTCCGTCTGTCTCCCCGTAAGCTTATGCAGAATCGAGTACTACCCTTTAAACTTTAATCCGGCAGGAATAGAGCGGCGGACGACGATCCGCAGCTAACCAACCGGACGATCGATTTCACAGAGGAATTTCAAATAAACTTTCGCTCCCGTAATTTCGTTTGCCCCGCTCTGACACCTCCGACCAGGCTCCCGACGCTTCTGTCCGATACCATATTTTCCGTCAAATCACCGGTCCGGACTACGCCGTCTGTCTGTCGTTGCTGATTTCCCTCTTCCTAGTTCGCCATGTTTGGGCGAACGCTTACTTGGTAGAACGGGTCGATCGGTTCTTCTGCGCCAGTGCTTTCTCACTTTCTTCGCGTGTAACCTCAGCGTTTTCGTGCTGGAAACGTTTTCGTTTGCTTGAAAACGCACGCCTCCTATCGGAGCTTCGTAAAAGGTTTCGGGCTTCGTAAATCAAAAATTTTCTCTCGTATTTGCGTAATTCGTCGTTACGCTGGAAATTTACATGTAATACGAGAGATAAGAACGCATAGGAGACATTTAATCCCAGAGAAAGATATAATTTGTATGATAATATATTACTAAGTTGCTGGTGCTTATGCAAATTCGTGTTTTTATAAACGTAATTAAAGAAACGGGTATGTAAATGAATTTCATACGTTTTTCCATACTATCTGCGTTTTTACGATTTTCAATTCCCTATAAATACATCAAACACGCGCATATTACGTGTCATAAATAACAACGCGTATTATACGTATCGTATTAATCGGAAGATTCTGTCGTTTGCGCTCTTTGTAAAGAAAAAGAGCCAGTTGCTTCGATCAAAATCTCTATGCGACTAGTCTTTAATACGATACGATCTTTTAATATGATACGACTCGTTATTGTATCTCGCTGTCTAGAGACGTTTTGTAAACATTCGACAGCTCCTCATCTGTCTATGCAAAGAAGACTCTCTGTTACAAAGTTATCTATGATCCGTATACGTGTGCTTCATAGGTGTTATCTATAGATACGATAGGTATTCATATTAAATGCGATATCTAAAATATACAAAACTATTTCGATCGCGTCGTATCGATCTCGCTTTCAACCTTGTTAAACCGAACCATAACAGTGAAACTAATCTAATTCATTAATAAACTCGAGAATACGTTTCCTGTTACCCTTCTACGCAACATGTTCTCAAAAATTGTATCGTGACGAGCGGATTAGTTCCGCTACGCGGAAACACATCGTCGAAAGCAGTCCACTCCACGCGTGGAAAGAAGACGGAGATGTCATTTTGCAAGCAACGTCCTTGCATCGAGGTAGAATAGACGTGTCTGTGGGTTACCTCTTTTGTCCCAGCGGTCACAAAAGGACCGTTTGAAACGGTGTGCTCACCCCTTAAAGCCGGTTCGTCTTCGTCCAACGAACTCCCCCGGTGGATCAAAAACGAATAACGTTGCTCGTCCCTTTTGACGACCAGACAAAGAGAAGAAAAAGGGTCACGGGGGCTTGGTCAAGGAATTTACCATCTCGAAAGGGGACACCTACTTGACCCCTTTAGCGGATTAACGGCAGGATTCATTGGAAAAATCTTGTTACGAGCAATCGGTGCTCGGTGATCTCATTACGAGCTCGCTGAATCGAGCTTCGATGCACAAAGTGACAAACATTGTTTCCAAAGCTGTCTGTGCACCATGCAACGTGTCAAGTCTCAGTGTAGAAGAACAAACTTTTGTTCGGTATGAGAAACAACGAATACGTTATGCATACCATATGGTAAAATTTTGTTATGCTATTCGTGACTTTGTTTGTACATTGTATACCATTATTATGGATTAAAAAATGTTTTGAATTGGCTTGATTATTGCGAAAATCCGATACAGAGTATTGCGAAAAGGGATTAAAGTATTTGTAAAAAACAAATGCTTGCGAACTAAATATTAATACAGTAGATCTCTGTTTATCTGAACATATCGAGGAATAAACAGTTCGTATAATAGGAATTTAATACTTCTCTCTGCTACTATATCTTTTCATTCGTATAACAAAATTTCACATTCGGATAAATAGATTTAATACGTGGAATTCCATTTAATAGAGTACCAATTTTATTCCGATAAATGGAGTTTCACTGCAAATTGCAACTGAATCTACGAAATATGTAAAATTCTACTTCGCTCCACTGATGTACTCCTCCTGTCCTAATGTACTGCCTCGTTTATAAGTATCGTACGTATTACGACAATCCCGGTTTTATACAAAATGTTCCTGATTTTTATACAGATGATCGGCTGAAATCAGAAAGGAAACGATTTTCCATTCTTCCTAGGTAATAGACTAAGAATTTATACGAGTCGTTAATAAGCGTTTCGAACACACGTTCAAGGCACGTGTATGCAAACGAGACGTCGATAGACCTATTCAGCTCGATGAAGTTGTGGCTCATCCTACGCGATCGACAGGATCCTGGCTCGCCTTTTCCTCTGGAAATCTTCAGAGTTTCGCTCGTAACGTTCGCCTTTCTCTCGGCGTGTTTGCCTTGAAATTTATCGCCTGTTTGCTTTCAAAAGCCAAATCCTCCTGAAGGGAGGCACCTGTTGGCCACGCACCCGCCCCATTTTTCTTTCCACGAGCACCCCACGATACATCGTTATACAACCAAATCCAAACAGAAACGAGCACTGTTCTTTCTCCTATACAAACTTTTTTTTCTAAGGAGCAATATTCGATCGGACTAGGATAATACACGATACGAATGATTAGCAATATGTCAAACGTACGATGGATCGTCCAAGTTGCAAAAGCAACTGTTCTTTTCTATTTTTAACGATTGAACAGGTCCCAAAGGAAAAATTTCATTGAAAAGCGCGGCATGAAAGTCAATCGCGCAAAACCGGATAGCCGCTGCATTTTCCTGGCAAAAAACCAGTCTTTTCATAGAAAAACTCGCGTTTCTTCGCCGATACGATCGATAGTATTTCAACGCGTTCAACGTTGTTGCGTACTGCAGAGGCGAATAATCGAATTTTCTGCGTACAAAGCCCTGCGACGCGGGTTGACTGTAAAAAAAGAACGTACCACGGTCTACGATTCAAAATCGCAATAATTTTCCCACCGACGCACAGTACGTCGACTGCCACGATGGTTATCGATGAAAACCAGATTTCGCTAGATTTTTTAGATCGATCAGAAATGAGAGAAAGTTCACGGACTAACAAATTTTCAACGATGTCAATGATTTGCATAACATTGTCGGAGGAAAAGTGCACAAATACGATATAACGTAATACGATATATAACGATCAAACATAATGTAATATTTTGCAAAAATGAAACGTTACTATTTAGCGTATATTTCAGGGCAAAACATATGGATATTCGCGTGGCAGTCGATCATGGCAGCTATGAAATGCAAATTTGATCAATAAATTTGTTGCGGTGGCACAACCTAACCCCACTCATAAATTATCTTTATCACTTTCGTAAGCTTTCCCGGATTTCATACGTATAACCACGTGCTCCTCTCTGATCGCTCGTATATTGTCCGTACCGTCTATAATCGTCGTGAACAGGTCGACAACTTTCCACGGCATCGAGAAGACGAAGTTTGCCTTTAGTAAGTCCTCTATAACACGTCGACGAAGCTCGTCGCCAGCGGATTTACCCAACCTCCAGTTTCCAAGTAATTTCGTGTATCAAAGACGAGAACGACCTCGGACTTCCATCTATCCAGGGTAGGATATCGGGTATTCGACTGTCGAGAAAGTCGATGCCCCTCTCGGTCACCCTTGTCGCTGGCTTTGCACCACTTTACCGCAATTTCCGGTATCATTTTACGTGGTACGTCTGGCAAGAGAGAAATTCGATGGAATCGGTGATGAAGACACCTGCCTAGCCAGCTTGAAACACGCATGGCAAGAAGAACACGAGAAGATAGAAGCCCGTGCAAGCTGTCTTCTTTGGTAAACGCCTGGTGAGTCATTGCGAAGAATTCACTTGGTGACCAGGCTCGTTTTGTCGACACGACACGACCGACGACTCGTTGTGCAACGAACTCCACTCGACTCTTGTCGGACTAAACGAATAACCTGGCGTCTACGTGATTACGTGAACATCGACGCGACCGTTTGCTCCTATCGACGCACGTGTTGCGTCCTCTTATTCGAACATTCAGTTTATTACTTATATCCAGTTACTTAAACATTTTGCTCTGACGCAATCATCGGCTTGTCGCGCGTACGCGCTTTAACCGAGCAAATAGCGCTAAATAGAACCGCAGAAACGCACGCCTCACACCTGTGCACTCTCTTGCACAATAATTTGCTAACATTAGATAGTTAACGAGCGACGAGTTGCGAGTTACAGGCTTCGTTTTTAGAATTTCGTCATTACGCGTCAAATAGGATAATCGGATGGATTTTGTATGGGAAATTGAAAATTGTTCGCGGCGAGTCCGGCTCGTCGTTCTACGCGAATGGATTAGCTCTGTGTCAGTTATCAATTTTAAACTTTCACGTGACGTGCGCGTATTTGTGATTCTTCGGGTTTCGATCTTAAAAATCAGATTAAAATCCGAAGAGTCACAAGTATGTGAATCGTCAGCTATCCGTAAGTTTTCTTTCCGCTCGAGTACGGAATTTCCAGGCGAATCGCGTCGCGTCTAATTGGCGAACGAAAGTAAGCAGGTATAGAGCGTGAAATTACTTCATTTTGCAACGGTACCACGGTTACGTTATACGTTTATTGCAACATCCATTAACATACGCGTGAATCGATGAACGAGCAAGATGACCAATGGCTTAGTCGAGGACCACTTGTATCTTTTACGGTACTGCGACATTCACAACTTCCGGCCACACGAAGGCACTGGATTCTTGTCGCAGTTGTCCGAATCACAAGGAGGAGCAACCATCATGCAGGATCGGCCATTCGGACAAGGTGGAGCGTCTTTGCAGCTCTTGCCTGGCAATCGAACGATTTCATCGTCGTTTTGCGCCATCACTATTGCACAAAATATTGCCAGGATGAACGCCAAGGTCATGGGAAACCTCATCTTCCTCTGTTACGTCCTGCACAGTGTTCTGAAAGTGTGTTAATTCTTGATATTCTCGTGGTACCTCAAAGTATCAAGGTATTTTCACTAAAATGTTCTAAGCTAAATATGCTTGACGATACCGATAATATGAAATAACATAATTGGCATATTCGTAATTGCGAAAGCTTGTGGATCTGTTTCGTTGTTTGGAAAGCTCTTAATCTTCGAACTGTTCAATTTCGATTGAACTATAAATCAGAAAATTTAATTCCAATGTAACGTAAAAGAACGTAAAAGAAGTTGAATTTATAATTAATTACTTGCGTAAGAAGTTACGTACATCTGCGGTCAAAAGTCTTAGGACAATTTTTATGTTTGCTTCATAGGTGAAAAAGTTAAGCAAAGAAGGTTGGAGGTATTAAAATAATTAAAATACGCGCAGTTTGAAATTCGTAATTTAAAAAATTACGAGTAAATACAAATCGAGCTAGAGCGTGCTAAGCATTGCCTCCGATCGATAGTTCACAATTAGTTCGAAAATTCAGTAACTTTCTCATACCGTTACCACGAATTTACCGAAAAGCGATACTTATTATTAAGAATAAAATTGCAGATAAAAGCCGTGACTTTTACAGCAAATCGTAAAACCACTTCGCGCGCACTTAACGATATCTCATCGAAGAATAAGAGGTATTAGAGGATGTTTGATTCGAACAAAAGCCAGCGAGTCTACGCTTTCGACGTAGTACGAAATTGAGAGCAATCAAATCGATTTTCCGACTAAAACGTAAATCGTTAAACCCATATCTACCATAACGGAAAAAAGTAACGCGTTGAGATCTCGAAATACAAGAGAAAAAGAAGTTAAATAGACCAAAAAAAAAATAAATGCCTGGTACGTGTCGTGAGCAAGCCTGGTGACAAAACTAGTTTACCTGTCGTCGAGAGTACACGTGAGATACGCACACGATCCTTTTCCTCTTTCTCGATAAGAGGACGACTCTTGAATGATACTTCGTAATTACGGGTCGTGATTCTTATACGGATCTCTCGGTATTTTTCTCTTCCCCTCTTGATCGGTGTATGTTATCACATGGCCAGGAATCATTAGCGGCTCGTCGTCTTGTAATGTTCGTCATGCACGGTTGCCCTCGCGAAGGGCACTCCGCGAGGAACGATGCCTCGCAAACAGGTATCCGCCATTTTCTACGCATTTTTCCACTTTTCTTCTTTTTCCCTGTTTTCTGTGTTCGCGTTCGGAATACCGCGAATACGACGAAATTAATGAGGACCACCGGTAACAAGAAGAATCGCGTCTGGGACATCTATTTGCGGAAACAGCGCGACGATCCTCTGCTACCAGCTGCTTCTGCTCTTTAACAAATTCCCTGACAAAATAGACGTTTCTTCGTAAATGCGAGGAATTAAATTTGGAATTTAACGTCGATGGTATCGGACTTCTTATTGAAATCACAAATTCGTCATTTTTAGCTTCGATGAGTCGTAATAACGGTGATCGATAATTAACGATATTATTTGATACTTGGAAAGAGAATGGTAGTCGAAATAACCAATTGCTGATATTTCTAGAAATTTTGTAAAACTAGCAACGATACATTTCTCGCTTCGAAACGAGACAATGTATATTTTAAAATTGGTCAGCTAATGGCAAAGTGAGTGGACGACCGTGTTCGACGTTGACCTCGACAAGACGTAAAATTAGTCGATTATTCTTTCCTTCGCTAAGATTTCTGCATAATATATTGCAATTCATCGTAAGTAGGAATTTATTCGACAGTCAAGGCTGATCGAGACAGAAGATTGATCAAAATGACTGCCATGCTGTATTCTTCCAAAACGTAATTCGCAATTAGGAAGATCCTTGCGCGTTTGTCTTGACTCGACCAAGACAGGTTGCGTCACGAGACGCGACAAATCCATGGAAATCTTCGAATTATAATATCACAGGATCTTCTTAATTATCGACCCTGGTCGAATCTCCTTGAAACTTTTATCAACTGACTAGCATCGAACCTTTCAACTGAAGAATCTTCTAGAAAAGTGAGCTGACACTCCTCTTCGAAAGAAGCTGTTCGTTTCTTTAGTTCATTGAGGGTTTTTTCAGTTCATCGTCATACTAATCGCCGAACATCACGTCTATCGGCAGCGAGGATCTCTTACGTACCAGGATCTGTATCTTCTAAACGCATGATTTCCCCAAGCTAAAAGACTTCATATTTCAAATCTACCGTCTCGTCCCACGAAAGTACATCAAATTTCGTCTCGAAGAGCAGGCCACTTTTCGAATACAAAAGTCCAATTCCGAATACAAAGTTCCAGCATCCCTCTAACACCCTGTGAAAGCTTTCCGTCGAACAAAACCAAAACAACGAAGAAATTTCATCAACGATGAAATATGGTCGATGATTGATCCGAGGGTGGTCGGTTCTGTTGCAGCTGCATGCGGCCGCGTTATCATCGCTGCGGTCCGAGGTAGCCGAGCTGAATTCAAGGCTGGTGGCGGCGACACGAGCCAGGGAGGCGACCG